CCCTGGCCTCTCTCCCGGCCGGCTCTGGGGGTCCCCAGTCTCTCTCCCAGTCGGCCCTGGGGGTCCCTGGCCTCTCTCCCGGCCGGCTCTGGGGGTCCCCAGTCTCTCTCCCAGTCGGCCCTGGGGGTCCCCGGTCTCTCTCCCGGCCGGCTCTGGGGGTCCCTGGCCTCTCTCCCGGCCGGCTCTGGGGGTCCCCAGTCTCTCTCCCAGTCGGCCCTGGGGGTCCCCGGTCTCTCTCCCGGCCGGCTCTGGGGGTCCCCGGCCTCTCTCCCGGCCAGCCATGGGGGTCCCCGGTCTCTCTCCAGGCCAGCCCTGGGGGTTCACTGCTCCCTCTGCCCCCAGGCTCAGTTGGCCCGAGCGCTGTTTGACAACGTGGCCGAGTGCCCAGAGGAGCTCTCCTTCCGCCGGGGGGACCTGATGCTGGTGCTGCAGCCCGAGGTGCCCGGCCTGGCCGGCTGGCACCTCTGCTCGCTGCACGGGCAGCAGGGCATCGTCCCAGCCAACCGCGTCCGCATCCTGCCCGAGCCGGGGCCCCCCGACCTCTCTCCGGCGCCCCGCAAGGAGAGTGCGCCAGCTGCCCTCTACGACCCGCCCCGGAGCCAGAGGAGGAGCAGCGCAGGGCAGAAGGAGGAGCAGCAGGAGGTGAGAACCCAGGCGTCCGGGATCTCCCACTGCCACCCCTGCTCCCCATTCCAGCCAGGTAACCCAGGCATTCAAGGTCCTCCAACACAATCTCCCCTGGGGATCCCCCATACCACTCCCCACCCCATCAGCCACAGCCTGGCCTGAGGACCCAGGTGTCCGCCCCCCGCCCCCACAGCCTGGTCTGAGGACCCAGGTGTCCGGGATCCGCCCCCCGCCTCTACAGCTCAGCCTGAGGACCCAGGTGACCAGGCCCTGACCTCTCTCTGCCCCCCCTCCAGGTGTATGTGGTGCCCCCACCCACCCGGCCATTCCTGACCCCCTGTGATGATATCTACAAGGTGCCCCGTGCCACCCGGAGAGACAGGGACCCCAGTGAGGTGAGAATGGGGGCAGGGGGAATTTGGGAAAGGGATGGGGAGACGGGGCGGGGACCAGTGTCTGAGCCTTGATTCACCTTCTTTTCCCCCCCACCCCCAGGTCTATGATGTCCCCTGCTCCCTCCTGCGGGACGCCCCCCTCTCCGACACCTATGACACCCCCTCGCCCTTCCCCAAGCAGGTGGCAGAGCCGGACACCAACCCCTACAAAGTGCCCCCCCCGGCCAAGCCGCCCCCTGGCCAGGAGGAGGAAGAGGAGGAGGAGGAGGGACGGGAGGAAGAACCAGCCCCTGTCTACGCCACCCCCTCCAACCTGCGCCGGGCATCCGCCCTGCTCAACCTGTACGAGTCGCCTGAGGAGCTGCTAGGGGGGGAGTACGACCTGCCGGGCCCCTCCCCGCCGGAGGCAGCCCTGGGGGGGCTGAGCCTGGGCGAGGCGGGGGGTGCGGGTGGGCGTCCCCGGCTGCCCTCGGCCGAGAGCCTCTCGCGCCGCCCCCTGCCCGCCCTGCCCTCGCCTGGCGCCCCCCGCAAGGGCAGCATTCAGGACCGGCCGCTGCCCCCGCCCCCGCCCCGCCTGGGAGGGCTGGCTGGGGGGCCGGACGAAGGGGCGGGGGATGGGCACAGCGAATACGAGGGGATCCGACTGGCGGAGGAATACGACTACGTCCACCTCAAGGTGAGCCGGGAGCACCGCCCTCGATGCCAGCCAGAGCCCTGACCTCTGACCCCTAACACCACCCTGAGCCCGGCTACCCGAGCCCTGACCTCTGACCCTAAACCCACCCTGAGCCCGGCTACCCGAGGCCTGATCTCTGACCCCTAACACCAACCCAATCCCAGCTACCCAAGTCCTGACCTCTGACCCGTAATACCAACCTGAACCTAGCTACCCAATCCTTGACCTCTGACTCTAAAACCACCCTGAGCCCGGCTACCCAAGCCCGGACCTCTGACTCCCTCCCTAATGCCAGCCTGATCCTGGTTACCCGATCCCTGAACTTTAACCTCTGACCCTGGTCCTGATGTCAACCCAAGCCTGGCTGCCTGACCTCTGACCTCCTCCCTAATACCAGCCCAATCCCGCCTACCTGATCCTGACCCTAACACCAGCCTGCACCCAGCTACCCAATCCTTGACCTGTGACCTCTGCCTCTAACCCCAATGCCACTCTGACCCCGACCCCCAACCTCTGACTACAGGTCACTGACCTCTGACCTTGACCCCAAAGCCAACCTAGCCCCAGGGTCCCTTACCTCTGACCTCAACCTCAGCCTGCCCAAAATGCCAATCGGACACTTCCTTCCCTGACCCCTCATGTCAACCCTGTCCCACAATCACTGACCTCCAACCCCTGACCCCAAATCCGACTTCTGCCCCCTGCAGGGGACAGGCAGGCTCCAGCCCCCGGCTACAGACTGTGACCCCCCAGAGGAGGTGACCAGCCCCAGACCCCAACCAGAGACCCCCCTTTTGCTGGAGGAGGAAGAGGTAGGAGTGGTCCCTTCCCGGATGCCTGGGTCCCTTTCCCTGGTAGTGGATGGGGGTTAAGCTCTCTTGGATGCCTGGGTCCCATTTGCAGAAGGGTGAGGTCCTTCCTGGGTGGTGGGTGAATGGGGGGTGTCAAGATTCCTGGATTCCTTGGTCTCATCTCCTGGAGGGGGAGGGGTCGCCCCCCAGACTCCTGGGTCCTCCTGCCTCCCAGCCTGGGGCAGGATGACCCCTTCCAGCACTGACACCCTCCCTCCCCTGCCCTTCTCAGGTGCCTCCCAGCCCCGAGGACGCCCAGCTGCTGCAGTTCTACGCAGGCCAGTGCCGGACGCACTACGCCACCCTCCTGGCGGCCACGGAGGCCCTGCTGGCTAGCGCCGGGGCCAACCAGCCGCCGGGCGTCTTCGTGCCGCACGGGCGCTTCGTGCTGGTCACGGCGCACAAGCTGGTCTTCGTGGGCGACACGCTGGCGCGCCAGGCAGCCTCGGCCCCCCTGCGGGCCCGGGTGGGGGCGGCCGCCGGCGCCCTGTGCCAGGCCCTCAAGGGGGCTGTGCTGTCAGTCAAGGGGGCGGCGCTGAGCTACCCCTCGGCCCCGGCCGCCCGCCTGCTCCAGGAGCACCTGGCCGAGCTCTCCCGGCGGGCCCTGGGCTTCACCAGTCTGCTCAGCACCCTGGCCCCCTCCTGACCCCCTGACACCAATGATCCTTGGGTGACCTCTGACCCCCTCCCCAGGGTCCTCTGTGCCAAATAAACCCATGACCTCTGACAATTAGCCCTGTATGGCCTCTGACCCCCTGCCACTTGGCCCATCTCACCTCTAACCCCGTGCATTGACCTCTGACAGTCCCAAAGCCTCCTAGCAAATGATCCCTATGTGACCTCTGACCCCAAAGGCCCTACCCAAACCAATTGTGACCGCAGACCAAGGCCCTCCCACATCCAGTGTCTTACTGCAGCCTCTGACCCCTGGCTAGTTCCCCCTAAGCCAATGACACTGGGAGCCCTGGCCTTGACCTTTAGCCTCCCACAACTGAGCTCCATTTCCCCCTTGACCTTTGCCCTCTGTCCCACTTTGACCTGGGAGCCCCATTATCTTCACCCTTGATCCCACCCAAGGGCTTCCGCTCCTGGCCTGCCCCCCCAACCAAAAAGCCTCTTGACCTGTGACCTCTGCCCCCAGTCCAGTTCCCGCCCCCCCCAAAGCCCTGACCCACTTCATATGGGGGAATCTTTGTATTATTTATATTTCAGGGTCGGGACTCATGGAGGGTGGACGGGCCTCACCCCCCAACCCCGGGGACCCCACAGTTGCTTGGGGGCAGGGCTGGCTCCAGGCACCAGCTTACCAAGCAGGTGCTTGGGGCGGCCACTTTGGAGAGGGGCGGCACATCGGCGGCTGGTCCCTCACTCCTGCTCGGAGCAAAAGACCTCCCGCCGAATAGCTGCCGCAGATCGCGATTGCAATCGCGGCTTTTTTGTTTGGCTGCTTGGGGGGGCCAAAACCCTGGAGCCGGCCCTGCTTGGGGGGTCACGGCAATGCCAAAGACTTGACTGTGGTTGGGTGGCAAAAGAGGACCCCCCACACACACCTGGAGATGGCATTAGTGTGTGGGGGCGGGGGTGTCAGCCAGCACCAGCGTGGAGCAGAGGATTATAGGAGACTGGCCAGGGCAAGAGGGAGCAGAGGAGTCTGGGTAAAGTCCAGCAAAGGGGATGGTCCCCGTCCACAGCACAAACTGCTAAGAACTGATGACTCCCCAGCCCGTGGTGCCCCCCCTCACAGCTTTGCTGGTGCCCCTCACCAGGGAGCCCATGGGTGACCTGTTCTCTCAGGAAAGATTTTTTCTACATTTGTAAATAATAAATCAATGAAAAAAACCAATTGTCTCTGTTCCTTGGGGGGGGGGAGGAAACAACCTGCCCCCCCAGGGCCATATCAGAACCAGCAAACCCGCACCCCATATTCTATTCCCCAGGAAAGGTGGGGAGGGAACATGGAGGGGCTGTTGGGGGGATTAGTTGGGAAGGGGCCATGTAGGGAGGCTGCTGGGGGGAGTAGACAGGAGGAGATTGGGCAGGTGGGGGGGGAGGAGAGTTGGACGCCAGACTGTGTGCAGTAGGGTCTAGTGGTTACAATGGGGGGGGGGGGAGAGACAGCTGGGAGCCAGGACTCCTGGGTTCTCTCCCAGCTGTGGGAGGGGAGAGCGGGCTAGTGGTTGGGGGAGAGCTCAGACTCCTGGGTTCTCACCCCAGCTCTGAGATGCACCACGATCCCTGGCCTTGCTCCCCCCCCAACACACACACACACTGCTGGGCCTATCCATGGGTGAGGGCAGGCCAGGCCCAGGAACACACCTGGCCAGGTGACCATGTGAACTCCACACCGGGGCCACACCTGGACTTGTGGCAGGCCTGTCAGGCAACATGCCAGGCAGGCCCATGACATGCAAGGAACATGGCAACACGGCCAAATGCCCAGCACCCACATCAGCAACACCAACTCCATGCTTTACACATGTACCCACCCCCACACCCAGGACACACTGGCACATATGGGCACCACGCCAGCACCACACATGGGGCCCAGGCTGACAGACCACCTGGCAAAGGGCAGTCTCCAGTGGCGGGCAGTGGGATAACTGGGGGAAGGGATGGAAGGGAACCAGTTTCAAATCCCAGGACACACACACACACGCACACCCCCAACACCTCTGCACTGCCCCCCAACTCCTCTCCGCTGACATCAAGGGAAGGGGGCCTGGACGCTTGGGCTCCCTGGGAGGGTGGTGAGGGCTAATGGTTAGAGGGGGTCAGTGGGCCCACCTGTCCTTGCTGTCTGCCCCCACCCCACCAGCTGACACCCCAGGGGGATCCCCCACATCCCCCTGCAACTCCCTAACACTTGCTGGGGCCCCCAAGCCCTCAGGGCCCCTGCCAGGTGACAGACCCCCCCCATGGCAACAGCCCCTCACTCTCTAGGGTACCCCCTAAATCCCCTTTGACCCTGAATGCTCCGAGGGACTCCCCCATCCTTATCAGGATCCCCTGAGAGTCCCCCAGGACCCCCACCCCCAGAAGCCCCCAATGCCCCGGGACCCTCCATGGCACCCCTCATAGGACCCCACCCCCCCAAACACCCAACTGAGAGACACCGCCCCACCCACTGTCAAGGGCCCTTTTCACACTACCTCCCCGCCCCCATCAACCCAAGTCATGTGATCAAGAGATGACACACAATAGACTGGATTCAAGGGCCTAGATTTAGGACCCCCCAAAACACTCGCCCCTCCCACGGACACACCCATAAGACAGACTCCTCTCGCCCCCCCGCCACAGCCAGCAGCTCAGGACCCCTCCCCTGCATGGGGGTCTGGTTATCCCCAGACCCTTTGCGCCAGGCTAAGGTGCACCCCCTGAGCAAATACAGCTGTGATCCCTAAGAAGCCAGGAGTCCTGGTTGCCAGGAGAGAACCCAGGAGTCCTGCCCCGCCCCGGCAAATCACCATTCACCCCCTTTTCTTTCTTCCAAAAACATCTTTTATTTTTTTTCCACCCTCGTAACATCTTTTTTTTTTTTTAATTTTTTTCTCCCCCCCTGCTCTCGCCCCCTCCCAAAGCCTGGAAATTAAAATAAAGGGGGGAGGAGAAAGGCCCCCCCAATCCCTGCACCACCCCCCCCCAATATTTAATCTGGTCGCAAGAGCTCCGTGCGGCTCGACAATTCCTTCAGGCTAAAGCCACCTGCAAAGATAAAGACACTGAAATACGGCAGGTAACAGCCCGGCCCGGATGGAGGGAAGGGGGCAGGGGCAGCGGAGGAGTGGAAGGGAGGAGGGAGCCAGGCGGGGGGCAGAAGGGGCAGCGCAGGGGCTAGGTCCCACCCGCGGGGGAGGACCCGAACGAGGGAACAAGCCAGGGAGAAGGGAGGAGCGAAGCCGCGCCCAAGGCGGAGAAGTGAAGGGGGCCGGGCGCAGAAGGAGGGAAGGAAGCGGGGCCGCCCGTGGACGGAGGGAGGAGCCCGCCCGTGGCAGGGAAAGGGGGAGCGAAGGAGGACAGAGAGGAGGAGTGCCCTGTGCTCATAGAGCCGCCCCCGCCCCCCACCGCGCCCCACGGCTCGCCCCCACGGGGCTGCTCCAGCACTGTCACATTCTTCTCTTTTTTTTTCTCCTCTTTTTTTTTTTTCTTTTCTTTCCCAAAAAACACTTTTTTAGTAAGGGGAATACCATGAGGTTGCTCTAGCCCGGCCCCTGCAGAGGAGAGAAAAAGGGAACGAGTTAATAAACCAGGGGGAAGAGAGAGGAGAAGAGAAAATACAACCGAAGAACCCAGGAGTCCTGGTTGCCAGCCCTCCCCCCCCAGCTCTAACCACTAGCCCCCACTCCCAGCCCAGAACCAGAGAGAGAACCCAGGAGTCCTGGCTCCCAGCCCCTCCTGCCCTAACCGCTACACCCTACAAACACCCCAGAGCTGGGGAGAGAACCCAGGAGTCCTGGCTCCCAGCCCCTCCTGCCCTAACCACTACACCCCACACACACCCCAGAGCTGGGGAAAGAACCCAGGAGACCTGGCTCCCAGCCCTCCCCCTCCCCCCGCTCTAGCCCGCACTCCCCTTCCCAGAGCCGGGAGAGAACCCAGGCATCCTGCCCGCAGCGGCCCAGCCCCCCAGACCTGTATGAGCGTCCACGGGGTCGGCTGCTGAATCCACTGTAGAACCGGGCCCGGGAGCTGGTGTAGCCCGAACCGCGCCCTCGGAACCGGGCCCGGGGAAAGCCCCGGTCTGTGGTGCTGATGCCGGGCCGGTTGGTCCGCTTGGGTATCACCTGGGGGGCAAGAGGGGGGGTCAGAGAGGTGCAGCGAGCACCAGGGAGGACCTTGCGGGGCAGGGGAAAGAAATGAGGGTCAGGCCCAGGCTAAAGAAGGGACGGTGGGCTTGGGGGTTCAAGGCAACGGGTGAAGCTCCTTGGGTCAGGAGAGAGCCTAGGGTTCCGGGCAGGATCTGGGCCCAATCTCGGGATTCGGGGGGCTGGGTTTTGAGGTGCAGGGCTCACCTTGATCTGTCGCCCCCTGAACAGGGATTCGTCTAGCGCCATGGAGGTGCGCACAGACTCCTTGTCGGAGAACTCAATGTAGGCGAACCTGGGGGGGATCCCACATTAGACACCACAAAAACACAGCCCCCCCGGGCCGTAGCTTCTCCTCCAGCCCCTCCTCCTGCCACCCCATGCCCCCACGAGCCCCCCGAAATCTCACTCACCCCTTGGGGTGCCCACTGTATTTATCACACAGGATGGTGACACGGTTGACGGACCCGCAGCCGTGGAAATGAGCCTCCAACTCTTCGGCCGTTGCCCCGTAATCCACCTAGAAAAGAGGGGGACAGTGGGCTGAGAAATGGGGTCCCCTGAACCCCCCCCCAGCCCCTCCATGGCTCCCCCACTTACATTACCCACGTATATGGACCGAGCGTCAGCCTCCATCTTTTCTTCTAAGGACATTATGACTGGGCCAGCTGTGAAGAGAGAACCAGGGGCTTAGTAAGTGGGGGCTGTACCCCAAATCTCTTCCAGTGCACCCCCCCTTTACCAGAACAGAGATGGGACGATCCCCCTTTCTGCACTGGGTTTATACAGCATCTGGCATAACTAGTATGGATAGATGTATAAACAAGCCTACACAAACAACCCAAGGGGTAGTTTTTATGTAGGACCTACCTAAGAGATTCAGAACAGCATGAGTGAGGCCGGTGTTTACATAGGTCCTACGCAAACCAGATGATAGCATTTATGTAGGTGCTACACAAATAAAAATCAGAAAAACACAATTCCCATGTGTCTCTGGGCTTTGCCATCCCCACGGGGGTCTGAGAGTTAATTGGGATGGTGGTTATTGTTTTCATAGGTCCTACACATACAAAAAAGCAGCATTAACAGAGACCCTACACAAATAAAATGCAAAGCAGCGTGAATCCCAAATGCCTCCTACTTCACTCCTCCCCCGCCCCGCAGTCAACAGGGTCCAAGGGGGAAAGTGATGATCACTGTGTACATAGGTGTTACACAAATAAGATGGTGGCATTTATGTAGGTCCTACACAAATAAAATTCAGAGGGGCACAATTTGCATGCATCTCTAGGCTTTACAATTGCCAAGGGAGTCTGAGTTTGAATGGGGGGAGGGGGGTTTACAGTTTACATAGGTCCTACACAAATACAATTCAGAACAGCGAGACTCCCAAATGCATCTGGAATCCACCATCACCCACATGCTCCAAAGGGTATACTGGGGGGAAGGGATGGTTCCTGTTTACGTAGGTCCTGCACAAACACAATCCAGGGCAGTGTAGTTCACAGATGTCCCCTAACTTCGCCATGCACAGGGGGCCCAAGGGAGTTGACGGGGGGCCCGAGGGGGTCTCACCGTTGCCCGGCGGGGGGCTCATGTTCATCTGCTTCTCCACCTCGTTCTGCAACTCCTTCAGCTTCTCCGCCTCCTCCTCCATCTCCCGCACGCGGGCTTTGATGGCCTCCAGCTCCTGAGAGGCAAGGGGGGGTCAGACTGGGGGCCTGATTCACCCCCCCACTCCCATTTGCCACCCCCATGTCACCACCACGCCCTCGCCACCTACTCCCCCCATAGCTCTGCCCTGGCCCCCAACACACCTCCATCCTACCCAGGACCCCCCAAAAAGAGCCCAACCCCCCAACTCTGCACCCCCCACTCTACAACCCCCTCTCCTGGCGAGTCCCTGGAGACTAGCCCCGCCCAACACCAGACCTGCCCCCTCATGTGCCCCCCACCCTGTTCTAACCCCCACAGCCTAATGCCCCTCACCCGCCCGGGGGCCGCCCCCTCCCCGGGGCCCCGCCCAGTCCTGCCCCCGCCCCTGCAGATCTCCCCCCACCCACGTGCCCCTCCCCCACCCGCGCACCTCCCGCCAGATCCCCC